AATTTTGTCTGTTGGCACCAAAATTCAGGTTTATTTCCAGAAATATTGAAAAATATAAGAATAAAGTGCAGAATAATATGGGTGAGAAAGTCTGGCTGTGAAAAAGTTAAGATGGTGTTCCTATCAACAGTTACTAATGATGTGAAACTGTCGTATCTTGAGTACAACATGTATTTACACAGACTTGTAGGTGTAGAAAATGACTCGTACCATTTGAGGTAAGTTTGTTGACTTTGTCACTGAGTCTCCTCTTGTCCTCCTGTACACGGTCTAAAAGGTCTTTCAGTTGGTGAATTTCTTGTTTTCTAATGGATGCTTCTGACGCTAGCTGCTCCTTATCCATAATTATATTCTTGTGTTCCTGTGAGTTTGCAAACATATTAGTGAGCAGCACAACTAACAGTGAAATTCTTTTCCTTCGTGAAGGAATTTTAGTGAGTAGAGAGTCAGATAGAACTGCTTGATTAAACCATATTTTCTCTGATCATAGTGCATGCACAGAGATGTGTCTATGGCCAAATTATTTCAATGATTTAGTATACATGAAATGTAATATTCTGATTCATGTGCACTTTATGTGTGCCTTTCTGTGAGACACACTTCTAATACTGTAAAATACTCTGGAATTAATTTTAGGTGAAAGAACGTTTTGGCTGTTTTATATGGAATTTATTTTCACTGACAAGTTAAATGTAAAATATAGGAAAAAAGGTATATTTGCTGGATTTTATTTTCACTGAATCATTCCTTCAGCGAAAATAGTGAAAATTAATTCCAAGCGAAAATAAAGTATTCTACAGTAGAGAAAATATGGTAATTTTATGCAAAAATGTATTTTATTTTTTATTTTAGGCATAATTTCCCATTGGCTACAGATAGATCTTGCTGAAAATGTGAAACAAATTAAGCAGAATTCTTTGTTGAAAGGTGACCTTAGCGTTCCAATGGTCAGTGACATTAACTTTGATGCTTTAGTAGGTGGTTCCTAGTTAGAGTAGATAAACTTGGGTCAGGTCGGGGACTCTAAACTTAAAGGTTAAAAATGTATCCTCTTCATATTTACAGTTGGATTCAGTAAGATTTGCATACTATAATTTCCATGCATACTTTACGATTTTAATTAGATTCAAGAATTGAGCCTTAAATTATCAATTGTTACGTCACTAGGCTTACAACAATGCACCATATATCATCATTTATAATCAAATAATAAAACTGACATGAGCACAGATTGTGTCGCCATTCCAACGAGGGGGGGGGGCTTTAGAGGAATTTCAAATGCATTCTGTGTCACCTTATTATTGCAAATCCAACATGATTATTATAATTATTGTCTTCAAAGCAACATGCCATAAGGAAACAGAATGAGAATAAACTGATAATAAAAATATAAATCCTGACTCGTTCTGAAATAAACTGGAAACAATCGGTATAAATATTTGAGATGAACTCAGTGATTGTTACCAGGCACAGTGTACACGGTGAGTAGTCATGGAAACGATACATATTTCATGATTTTAATCTGTTATTTGAATGACATGATTTGAAGATAGACTTTTAATGTGCATATTATCAGTTTTGATGTACATTGGGTCAGCTTTACAGACGACAGAAAATCAGATATTCTCTACCACATACAAACTAGTCACTAACTATTGTCACCAATATACTTGGCAATGTGCCAAATACAAACCTGAAATGATGTTTCTATTCTCAAAGCTACAACTCCTACTATACAAAGGTGTTTTTATTTACCGCTATAAACCATTCAATATATGCCTATTCACCCACTTCTGGGGGGTGTGTCTCTTATATTTTATGGCTTACATGATAGGCTATTATGCTTGACCTAATTAGACAACTTTTTTTTAATTTTCACCATGATTTTTATCCATGTCCAAATAGTTGAAAATTTTTTTTCACATCATGATAGTTGAAATATCTTTTGGAGAAGTAAAATTAAATACAGACTCCGCTCGATCAGCAGAATCAATTAAATATCTCAATAAAGTAGGATTTACCACTCTTAGCTGTTGAAGTTCTAACTCCAATGAGTCGGCTTCCCTTGTGGACTGCTGCAGTTCCTTCTGAACTTCGGTGACATCCCTGTCGGCTGCGGTGATAGCAACATCTTTATCGGTCTGTAATTGCTTAGCGAGCCGATCAATATCTTTCATTTCAGAGATGAGTTCTTCGTTTTTAGATGACAATGATCTCACTTTAATATTTGCATCATGTTTATCTTGGATTGTATCTTTCAGTCTTTTCTCCAAGTCACGGTTTGCTTGTTGTAGGTAATCAATCTACAAAAAAAAAAAAATACTAAGTTAAATTCACCTTCCTACAATCAAATTTCTCATTTAGGACACATTGCTAGTTTGATAATGTGAAAGTTGAATGCTGTTTTCTGTATTAATGCAGCATATTTTGACATGCCAAATGACACCATATTTGACATGCCAAATGACACCATATTTGACATGCCAAATGACACCATATTTGACATGCCAGATGACACCATATTTGAAATGCCAAATAACAGTATATTTGACATGGCAGATGACACCATATTTGACATGCCAAATGATACCATATTTGACATGCCAGATTACACCAAATTTGACATGCCAGATGACACCATATTTGAAATGCCAAATGATAGTATATTTGACATGCCAAATGATAGCATATTTGACATGCCAAATGATAGCATATTTGACTTGCCGAATGATACTATATTCGACATGCCGAATGACACCATATTTGACATGCCAGATGATACCTTATTTGACATGCCAAATGATAGCATACTTGACATGCCAAATGATACTACATTGTATATTTGACATGCCAGATGACACCATATTTGACATGACAGATGACACCATATTTGACATGCCAAATGATACCATATTTGACATGCCAAATGATACTATATTTGACATGCCAGTTTACACCATATTTGACATGCCAGATTACACCATATTTGACATGCCAGATTACACCATATTTGACATGCCAGATTACACCATATTTGACATGCCAAATGATAGCATACTTGACATGCCAGATGACACCATATTTGACATGCCAAATGATACCATATTTGACATGCCAAATGATAGCATACTTGACATGCCAAATGATACTTTATTTGACATGCCAGTTTACACCAAATTTGACATGCCAGATTACACCATATTTGACATGCCAGATTACACCATATTTGACATGCCAACTGATACCATATTTGACATGCCAAATGATAGTATACTTGACATGCCAGATGACACCATATTTGACATGCCAAATGATAGCATACTTGACATGCCAAATGATACTATATTTTACATGCCAAATGACACCATATTTGACATGGCAGCTGACACCATATTTGACATGCCAAATGATACCATATTTGACATGCCAAATGACACCATATTTGACATGCCAGATTACACCAAATTTGGCATGCCAGATGACACCATATTTGACATGCCAAATGATAGTATATTTGACATGCCAAAAGATACAATATTTGACATGCCAAATGATAGCATATTTGACATGCCGAATGATACTATATTTGACATGCCAAATGAAACCATATTTGACATGCCAGATTACACCATATTTGACATGCCAAATGACACCATATTTGACATGCCAAATGACACCATATTTGACATGCCAAATGACACCATATTTGACATGCCAAATGACACCATATTTGACATGTTAAATGATACCATATTTGACATGCCGAATGATACCATATATGCTCTATTGGTAAGTAGCGCATACACTTTACATATTAAAATGTCTAAATATGTCTATGATCAAAATAAATCATATTTCCTAATCAAGTACACAATAAATGTAACTGTTGGTTTATATGTGCTGCTATTGGATACACACTTCTAATAGAAAAAATATGGTATACATGTATGTCAGCTGACTGGTTGTGATGTAAGTGCATGCAATAAGGACAAAAACAAAATGTCGCTGATTGGAGTTTCAAAGTGAGAAACTGACACACTTAGGCAGTTTTCCCAAGAAAATTTGGCACTGAGAAATCTTGTGATATCATCTCAAAAACAACTAGAATCAGAGGAATTTTAACACAAAGTGCCTGAAATTTTAGGAGGAAAGTTTTTGTTCAGATTACCAAATTACACTCAGACTTGGGCTCCTCACTGAGAAAATAATATAAAGCTTATGGCAAACACAGACAGTGGAAACATGAATTTAAATTAGATGTAAATAACATGCAACTACACAAACTTTTATTTGTTTATTTAGAAATAATTATTTAATTCAACTTGAAAAATTATGTTGAAATGGGAGAGAACAGTAAAGGATGACACAAGGATGGACATATGTCAAAAATATGTGGAGGACTGAACAGATGGATTGGGGGTTGACATAATGTTTGCTTTACTTCAGCTGGAGATTTTTAGAGGCATATCGGTACTTGTACAGGTCACGGAGACCAGTCCTAAAACAAATTTATAATTCTGAAAAGAAACTTTTATGATATTGCATAAACACATTACTTTAGAAATAATTATTTTGTTGGATCACATCCAAAAACTTTTATTTTTATTATGCCACTTATAGTATTAAAGCAAGACACTGCAGCATATAGTGGTGGGTGTGGCAGAGATTTGATGAGGTGAACCACTAAAACTTACCTGAGTATTGAGATGGGATATGAGTCTCTCATTGCCCCTGTTTTTAGACTCAGTAGAAACTACATCGTACGGTCTTCCACCTTCTAACTGTCTGTTCAGACGATCAATCTCTTGATCTCGAGCATCCACCTAGAGAAGAGAATTATAAATTTACTGCAATGAGCTGAGCTACCCAGATTTGGGAAAAAGATACAATACTACTGTATTATGGTGTATTAATTTTGTAGAAGTATATGATTGATAAACAGAGTACATATATCAAATTCCAAAAAATACAACTATGTGTATATGATGTCTGCTAATAAACCTTTTCTCTAAATAGCCGCTGAAATCTTGCAGAGAGCCAACAATATTTTTTCCTTGGCAATGGAAACTACTGAATTTAGCGGTTAGTAATGCACGTTATTGTAGTAGGGAATATAACACTATTTAGACGGAAATATAAGTTGCATTGCTCTGGCAAATAAGCAAATCAATGAAAATGTTAATTATCTTAGTTTTGGCTATTGTTATGTAGATGATCATTATTGTTTCTTGAATTAATTAAACAGTTG